ATCCCCATAACGCTAGATCCCAGACTGGTTATGTCTTCTCTGTGGTGGTACTGCCGTTTCTTGGAGGTCTGTTAAGCAGAGCATGGTGACTACTTCTTCTAACCACTCAGAGATTATCGCTTTATATGAGGCTTTACGAGAATGTGTATGGTTAAGATCGTTGATACGACACATTCGTGGATCGTGTGGTCCAGCGAAAGATGATATTACTCATATTGTCCTTTATGAGGACAATGCAGCTTGTGTTGCACAAATAAGCAGTGAATATGTAAAAGGAACCATAACAAAACATATTGCGCCAAAATTCTTTTATCTATATGAGCTCTAAAAGAATGGCAAAATTACCATCAAAAAAGTTCGCTCAAGTGACAATCTTGCAGATTTGTTCACTAAATCTCTGCCTACATCAACTTGTGAGAAATATGTTCACAATATTGGTATGCGCAGACTTGGAAGACTATCGTCTTCAGGGGGAGCAAATTCTTAAAGAACAATCCTGAAGATTGGGACCTGAAGGTCTATCATCATTTTTTCCCCCTTTTCGCTAAGTTTTGTCCCACTGGATTTTTCTTAGCATAGACTCATAAGATTGTCATCATCAGGGGGAGCGAATTTTCAATGCAATCCCGAAGATTGCGTCTTGAAGGACTATAGTTGTACTTTTTTTTGTTAAGTTTTGTCCCACAGAGTTTTCTTAGCCAAATGTTTTTAATGAGGCAACTAATGCAACACAAAAATCTACTTAAGTCGTGTACTCTTTTACTCGACTAGTTTTTTTTCCCACTGGGTTTTTCTAGCGAAGTTTTTAATGAGGCATTGACATCTCGAAGTAATGTCCAAGGGGGAGTGTTGAAATCTAAAAAACAAAATGTATGTGGACATTACTTTGTATGTGGACTATTAACTTGGTGTCTTTTCATTAGCCCAATATCCTTTTATCTTTCATCATGTATTTATAAATTGTACCATGTATGGAAATGGATTAAGAGGAATAAAAATTACAATTTCTCTTCTTCTCTTATCTCTTGTCTCTTGTTTTTATTTCTTTAGTATATTACAATAGAGAGGTTGATAATTGATATGATAATTATGCCAATATTATTATTTTTGCTTTGAGTACATCTTCAATTTGATCTCTACTAAAAGCAATTACTCCCGTCTTTTCTTTAGAATTGATAGTTATGACCCTCTTTTTCTTTCTTTATTTATTATAGTTAAATAGAGATCCCTCTGCAGTCCAATTACTTTATTCCATCTTGACTTCGGCTGATAGTTAGGCCAGTAAGAGGGATATTTTAATACTTCATTCCATCTTGGACTTCGGCTGATAGTTTGGCCAATAATAGGGGTATTTTAATACTTCGCATCAAAATATTACAACACTATAAAGAGTAGAAAATGAAAGTTTTTTCTTCCAATTTGAGAACACATGTTGTTTTTGTTGAAACCAGCTGTTGTCCGTTATTTCTATACAATAAATTACGGTTTGATTCTAGCGGTATGCAATAAATGTACTCAACTAAATATCCAAAGAAAGGACAAAAATATACCTCTAAAACCAAAAGAAAAACTTACAAAATATATGTGCATAAAACAGAAGGCCCCTGAATATGATGGCAGAGTGTTGAATTTTGCTCCTGCTCTTCTATGGGACCTCGAACATGACCGAGAGTTCGTTTGGTGTGCAAGAAATCCCCTTCGAATGTTATCCTTCCAACCTTCAATGCCGAATAAATAAACCTCTTCAACTTATCTTTGGGGTGAATCCAGCATCCTAAAATTACTGTCTTATTTGTGAAGGGGAATCGTTGAAAAATATGTGGGGTGAATTTCATAAACCTATTGTGGAATATTAACACCCCTTGTGAATAGGGGTGGAAGTGAACCAAATATTTAATAAACAGTTCGTCTAATATTCGTCCAGATATTCGGTCATATTCGATCCGACAGTTCATTTAACACTAAATGAATATTTTTCAGTATTCGGCTTATAAACGAATAGAATTTAACTAAAAGTATATTCAATTCGACTGATTATTAACTATTCGATAACTTTTTATATGTTAATCCTATTAATTAAACTTGTTATAAATATTACCCATCAAAATTTTCTATTACAACTTCTACCCATATGTAAATAAACAAGTTAAGGGACCTAGGGTTTCACATGTCCTTTGGATCATGAATGAACGGTTCAGATTTGCACTTGGCAACTCATAAGTAATATAAATAGCTTTAACAAGTCCAAGTGCCCTAGCTCTGAAACCGCCGAACTCTTTCCATCTCTCAGTCCCATCCCCCTCCCTCTTCGACGCGGTGACGCCTCCCCTAGACGAGCCGACGACGCCCTGCTCCCCTCGACGAGCCGACGAAGCCGAAGAGCCGACGACGCCCTCATCCCCGCGACGAGCCGACGACACCCTCCTCCCCGTCAGGTTCATCTTATATTTTCTGTTAATTTTTTTGTAAAAACTTTTTTCCCCAAATTATTTCCAGCAGGTGGTTAATGCATTTTGTTTACTGATTATGATTATTTTTTATGATTTTCGAATTATTAGCAAATACATATCAAATATTTGACGAATAATTCAAAATCAAAAATGCCGAATAAGGTTAAACGAATATTCGCGAATATTTTTCGAACATCAATATATGTAAACGAATCGAATTCGAATTTGTATAACTATTCGAGCCGAATACGAATACGAACACGAATAGCCCAATATGAACCGAATTCAAATTTGAACATTGTACTATTCGTTCAAATTCGATTCGATTCCACCCCTACTTGTGAATTCAACATCTTCTGCGGTCAAAAACCTCACATATCTCGAAGAATAATAAATCTCTAAACCCCCTTGTGGAGTCACTATGAATGACTTTTATGAAATCCACCCTACACATTTTGCAAAGAATCATTGCTTAATAAAAGGACAAATTTTTATTTTAGACCTCTTTAGAAACTTATTTGCAAAAGACGACATATTTCGAAAATAATTGCCAAATTCGATCCAGTTTCAGCCCAATTGGTTGAAACTGGATAGAATTTGGCAAAAAAAATTAGAAAACTTCACGGGACATCATGTCCTGTGAAGTTTAAGCCCCCATAAGCAAGTTAATTAGGAGCTTAAACTTCACGAGACTTTCTAAGTTTTTTTTCGCCAAATTCGACCTAGTTTCGAATTTGACAATTATTTAGTTAGCTAAAACTGGGTCGAATTTGATAATTATTTTCGAAATAGATTGTTTTTTACAAATAAGTTTCTAAATTGGACTATTTTAAAATTTTGTCCTTAATAAAACCATTGTCACCTGTCTGTCACCTTTCTCAACTTCCTCACCATCGACTTCACCGTCTAAAGTCCTTCACCGTCTAAAGTCCCCCAGGAAACTTCCCAGTATATGTAAGAGATACGCGCAGACGACTTTCTCCCCTAAAGAGAAACCAAATGTTCAATTCGTCGTACTGGTGAAACATAAGCCTCTAATATGGATTTTGAATATGACCTACACAAATTGAAAGTCTTTGAAGTCAAGATTCAACGCCTCCGTCTTCCAACCCTTAGAACTTTATATAATTAAACCTCTCTTGATATTATTTCATTCCATGGAAAAAGTCAAAGCCCTCACCGTTCTCTTCCTCCTCTGCTGCTTTGCCATCATCGCCATCTCCTCGGCCTGTAAGTTCCATTCCAGTTTCCGTTCATCCTATTACAGCTTACATACCACAGTTGTAATAACACATGATAATTGTTCAGGTACTACTCATAATGACATATTAGATGGAGCAGTAGCATGCCGACAGCTGGAGGCCGACGATGTGCTAGTAAGGAAGAGGCGGTCAGCTCGAGGATATGTGACAGCTGAAGCGCCACCTACTCCGGTGAGACATTGGATGCCAAAACCGAGACATTGGATGCCAAAACCGGATCTTCCTCCACGAGAACCAGTCCCTCCTCCGCCTCTGCGCTTAAACTTTTGAATGCAAAGAAAATGTAAGACTCAGGGCCTTTGGTTGTTCAAAAGCTCAAGGGTTCGATAGACTGAAGTTTTTACTCCCATCTTGATACGTGTTGCATGTTTGAAGATTACAACAAAAATTTAATTAATATATTTGGTGTGCCTATTAGTTAATAATATTTTCTATGCTTTTGATACTAGCGCATGCCATCTTGACGAGAATACATGTCATTTCGAATGCTGATGTGTTATTTGTCTTGGGTCGAGAAGCAGGAATAAATTTCAATTCATGTTTCAAATAAATCTTAATGGTTCTCTTGATGATCATGGTTGAAGAAGTGACCTGTACATTGGTAACCTAGAAGAAGTGAAGTTTCCTAAACAAGTGACGGCAAAAGTCGCTGAAAATAGCGTAAGCCTTTTCCATGATATCGAGTCTAGGAATGCAAAAGTATAATTTATTTAGTAGGAAACTCGACCAGAGATTGGGAGATCACCGCTTGAAGCGCAAGATCAGAACAAAAGAACAGACTGGGAGATGAGGTTCTACCTTTACTCCATTCTGTTCATTTGAAGATCAGAAAAGAACACAGAGACTAGCTAGGCATATATTTTTAAAGTGTCAACTGCACAAATAGAATACTTCGACAAAGGGGAAAAAAACATTTTTGAAACTACTACTTTTGTTTCTTTCTTTTCTCTAAAGGATAGATATGATTAGGTTCTTATTCTCCTCCACTGAGAAACTAAGTCACATTAACCATGCTAGTGAACGTAAAACGCCTCTATCCTCTCTCTTTTCTGCCAAGTGCCAACATTTTAAACATGACCACGAATTTCTTTGTTATGCACCAAACTCGCTACTTCAAAAGCAAAGACAACATTCAACCCCTTGTTCCAACCTTCAACGTGATACATAAATATTCATCTCAAATATCATACTTAAAACACCTTTTACTAATTCTGCCTGGGAGCTGCAAATTCAATGGGAAAAATCACAGCCTATGCCCTCACCATCTTCTTCCTCCATGGCTGCTTCGCCATCACCTTGACCTGTATGCTCGATCTCATCTATTCTATTGCAATATATGTAGTCAGCTTATAATACCAACAAGATTTAGGGATTGATTGGTTGCATATGCAACTCCTGAACTATGTAGCACATACATCTCCTGATCTCCATCACGACATTATTTTCGAGTTATGGCCCTAACAAGACATTTGCTAAGAACAGTTCCACAAAATTCCCAAGTGAATTTAAAAAAATAAGGGATATACTTACTAAGAAAACAGAATTGGGTAGCCACAACTCCTTGGTGCACAGGATGCATCATGCATTTGTAAACAATACTAGAATTAGTAACATATCATTGCAGTTTAATATTGTGGATTTATATCCAGGTATTACTCCAAGAAAAATATTGAATGAATCGACAATACAATGCAAACAAACAGCTGGAGGCCGATGATTTGCCAATATAAAAGGACTGATGATTTGCTACTAGTGAAAAGGCTGTGGGCATATTGGTTGCCACCATCTCCGGCCCGACACCCATTAACGGGACCAACACTCCCTCCCGGAGGAGAAGCTCCTCCTCATCCGGGCTTACACTTTTGAACACAAAGAAAATGGAAGATGCAGGGAAATTGGCTGTTCTCATGCTCAGGAATTTGATATAGTGAGATGTTCACTTTAAAGTTGAAAAGCATAAAGGCATGTTGAAGATCAAAATGACGAGAGGATGGTTTATACAGGTGTATCTATTATGGTCTATGAACTCCTTGATGCTAGCATGTCAACTTGGAAGAAATATTTATAAGCTTATGGCCATTATAGAATATACAACTGTTAACAAACACATGTCATTTTGAATGCTGAAAGGTTACTTTTCTCAAGCCAAACGTGGGAAATTTTCGAGTTTATATTTGAACCGGACCTTAATTGTCAATTGCCATTCAAGAAATGTCCTCTACACTGAGACTAAGAAATTGAAGGATCTGATGGTAATCATTCAGGCATTGTTACAGGGAGTCAGATATAGAGAGGAATTGATCAATTTGGTTGCAGAGTTAATAAGATCAAACCTGAAGAGAAATAATAATTAACTGGATATAACTTGAAATCAACAAAATCTAATAATGGCATTAGAATTCTATATGAAGAAATTTTAGTTCTCAACATATTGGTTCTGAGATCAAGGGCTCATTTGATTTGACTGAAGTACTGAAAGTAGGAAATAGATCAAAGAAGTAACTTCTAAATTTATGAAGCACGAATGGAAGTAAAAAAAATTATTTGTTTCACATATTTTTTGAAGTAGTGGAAATAGTAGTTCTTATTCTTCATTCTATTTTTGTTTGGATAGTAATGAGAAGTTGTTAGGAAGTAACTAACAAAGGAAATATTAATGAATATGTTTCCTAATTAAGACACATTTCACCTACTTCCGAGCTACTTCCGAGCCTTGAGGGGCGGAAAAACATTTAGAAAGTAGGGATGACATACAGACGCCACATCAGCGTTTAAGAAAGTATTGAAAGTAGTTTTTTTAGAGAAACAAAATTTTTTTTTTGCTCGAAAGTAGCAAATGTAGCCTCTCCTTCCTTTTCTTTAGCTGTTTCATAATTACTTCCATGCAAACAAACAAGTCTCAAAATAGAGTTTTCCTACTAATGTGATTCTTAGAGAAACTTGTATAGTAGTAATCCAATCTGAATGATACTTAGAGTTAAGAGTAAAAATAATAAATCAATAAACAAATATAACCAAACAAGCAATGAACAGAATAGAGATGTCTTCTGCTTCTTTTCGTTGTTGAGAAATCTATCGTTTTCTTAATTTCATCAGCTAGATCAATTTCAGCCACAGCAGAAGGTGTAATTTTGAGTCCCAACCAATTTACATTTTGAACCCAACTCCTCTATTTTAGGGAAGATGGATACAAACCAAGTTATTGAGTCATCAAATTAATCAGTCTTCCGAGTCAAGTGAACCAAATCTTTTCATTTGTACTCACCATAAACGTTCAATACAGTTCAAACCCGCTATCCTACAAACTGGAAACACAAATAGATTCGTTCCTCCTATTTTAGATTCGTTCCTCCTATTTTCAGTACATTTTCCCAAGAAATTCTAGGATCTGAATAGGGACATGCTCAAAGGATTGGGTGCATGTTTCCTAGCTGACACTTGTGTAGCGCCCGAATCCTATGCGGATTTTTCCATTGCTATAAATTGGGTAGACTTGTGATTGCCTTCAAATTTTAATCTCCTCTCTACAAATGCCAATAAACTACAGTTTTGCTTGAGAAGAAATGCTCTTTGATGTTGACTCCAAGGAATATATAGGTAATTTCTTCCTTTTGTTTTCCTTTAAACATTTTTATTTATGCATTATCTTCCGGAGGCTAACTATTTTTGCACATTATAACTGCTCCAGGATCGTGGATGAAGATATGTGCTATTAAATTTAGTATAAACATATATATTTAATATTTAGTGTTTGATCCCTATGGCGTATTTAGCGGAAAGAACATTTTTTACTATGTCAGATTTGACCAAAAAAATCTGCTGTATATAATATTAAACTTGAAAGAAACCTCAATGTCTAAGATAGTACAAGATTGTTTTATTTTTGTTCATCCAAATCTAATAGGAAAAAGTGGAACAGCTGTAGGGACAACCAATAAATGAAAAGTACAAAAACAAATAAAGCACAAATGGGAAGTAAGATTTTCTTTGAAAGGGAGGGGCCAAAATCAAACATTAATTCACTAAATCTAATGGAGGAAATACCTTTCATAACTAAACCTGAAATTATGATAGTGAATGTTTCCCATCTAGAACATAGCTATTGAAAGGGTACTCTATTAAAACAAATAGAACAAAGGGACTTTCCCCGAAAACTGATAAAGGACGTTTTGCCTCATGCTATTAAGTAATCGCTAAACAATCTTAATTAGCACAAGATCACACATCTAAGGCCACAAAAGTTCCGGATACAAGCAAAACTATTCCAACTCAAGATTGTACTTTAAAATATACACTATATACAACATCTTTGTGGCCAAAAACTATGTTGTCGAGGTTCAAAGATAGAAACTTCTCATAAAGAAAAATGAGCAGTTTATATTCTTTGAGCCTCTACAATATTTTTAGGGTTCAGATGATGTCGCTGCTAAAACTTCAAATAGTTGTGATAATTTATTTTTGAGAAAACTACATGATCAAGTCATCACTAAGACATTTTAATCATTTATAAAATCAACGGCTACAAAAGTTCTTAATACTATCAAAACAATTTCAAAACTCAATATTCTACTCTAAAATATACTTGATGGTGTACAACATCTTTGTAAGCATAAACCTTGTTGTTAAGGTTCAAAGATAGAAACTTCTCATTAAAAAAAATGAGCTGTCTACATTCTTTGAGCCTCTACAATATTTTTAGGCCTCAACGATGATTTCGCTGGTAAAACATCAATACTATTGTTCTAACAATTTATCCTTAAGAAAACTGCATTGACAAGTAACCACTAAGAAATCTTAATCACTTATAAAATCATATATGTATCAGCGGCTATGAAAGTTCCCAATGCGGCCAAAACAATTTAAAAACTCAATATTGTACTCTCAAATATACTTGATATATAACATCTTTGAAGCCATAATATATTTTGCTAAGGTTCAAAGATAAAAACTTTTCATAGAAAAATGAGCCATTTACATTCTTTGGTTCTCTACAATATTTTTTAAACTCAAATGATATTTTTGTTGCTAAAATTTCAATACAATACTTCTAACGATTTATCCTTAAAAATACTTCATTATCAAGTTATCACTAAGAATTTTTAAACACTTATAAAATCATGCACACGCACGCATATTTATCAAGTAATCACTTATAAAATCACACACACAAACACACTTGCTCATACACACACACATCTACGACTACAAATGTTCTTAAATACAATCAATTTCAAAACTCAAATATTATACTCTAAAATATACTTGATAATATATGTCTTTATAGTCATAAACTATGTTATCAAGGTTCAAAGCTAGAAACTTCTCATAAAGAAATATTAGCAGCTTACATTCATCAGCTAGATCAATTTCAGTCACAGCGAAGGAGTAATTCTCGGTACAAAGGAATGGAATGTTTCAGAATTCTCATTTTGAAGAAACTAGAGTGAAAGAAATATAAGAAACTCTTAGCATTATTTTAATTGCAGATAAACCGGCTAAGGAATTGTAGAATACAATGGCAAAAAACATCTAGAACAATCAACTATGTTATGAGAGAGATACAGAGAAAAAAGATGAATACCTGGATTGCTTCACAAATCTTCCAGTTTTTTCGAAACAACTGTAATCTGAGCATACTGCAAGCATCCTCAGCAGCTAGTTCAAACTCTACAACTTCATGTTGCATAACCTCATTGTGTTCAACTGATGCCCGCAAATTCTTGTTCGACAAAGAAGCAGATGAAATTATATCCTGAGTTCCATTCAGTTCTCTGTGTTACAGTTTTTCAAGCATCATCAACTGAATTAATCATCCAAAGAATTTACCATAACGATGACAGAAATAAACCACTTTACAAAGCATGATCAAAATCTTGATTGAAATAATGTATATGTTGTGTTTACTCTCTGCTGCCTCATTAGCTTCTAGCCTATAAAGGGTCATCTCCAACCCCATCGTTTTAAGCTTGCATCAGTTATACTTGGTTTCTAGCCCTTGCTTGGAGATGTTTGATTTTCTCAGCATATTCAGGCCACATAAGTAGAGAAATGCGATGGAGGACCTGTTGCATCATCATTCATTTAACTTATAAATAAATCTCAGAACAAAGTTTGCTATTAATCTATAACATATCAGGCAAGTCGTTAGAAATACTGAATAAAAACTTTTTTCAACTTTGGACCAACTTAAAAGTTCATCATAAAAGCCAACACTCTGAGAAGTGAGTTTGCTGTTAAATAAATGGAGTAGATAGAAATCTAGAAACATAGAATTTAAGTGAAAGAATGCCAAGCAAACAAACAATTTTGGTGGATTCCATTCACTCACCCCTGTGAAAGTAATTCTGTTCCAGAAGGAACTTTCTTTCTTCAACAGTAGCCATACAAGCACCCATGATATGGTTAAAGTTTGGTATCAACAATCTCTTTACTATTGCACCATACATATAAGCAAGAAAGTGTAGTTAATTGTCTTTGAGCCTATTCTCTGGAGAAAACCTCTTCTTAAATATCAATGCCCTTGCAGAAATTTCAGCCTCTCGCCTCCATTAGCTCATAGTTTGATGCATCATTTATTTGCAAAATACATTACAGGCAAGGAACATTCATTCTGCCTGATTTCAAAAACATAGGAAAGCAAAAACAAACAAACAAAAAAACAAAAAACAAACAAAAAACAAAATGAGCACCACTGCTGGTAAACCTTCAACAAATCACCACACAAAATAAGCAAATAGAGGAGCAGTGAGAAGATTAGCAGATATTTTTGCGAAGACATTTTACAAGTTCTGTGGGAACTCAAACGGAACCCTCAAGAATCTGCAGGTATAAAAGCACAAATCTATAAAAGATGTGGACCTCAACATACAAACATACATAATCTCTAAAAGACTATATCTGGGCCAGACTTTATGGCTAATATTCACTCTATATGATTAATGCATACAACCCAGGATCACAAATGGCTGAGTATTCAGCCACCACTATCTTCATGTCATTTTCTCTTTGGTTAACATTAAGTTTTAACTTAACAGTTAACAGCGACAACTTCACCAACTTCAATCTGAAATTCAATCAATTTCAATTTCATAAGTAAACAAATGAAAATTTTTCTCCATAATATGAAGCATTCTAAACAGGATAACGAACAGGATAATCCTGTTTACAATTATGTTTCCATCTAGTGTTATAAAGAATGTAATGATTTGATTTCTAACTGTGCAAATATGCAAATTAAATCATAAACCAAACCAGCAAAGGCAGAACAAAGTTCTGGAATTTGAAGCACCACAACCATTTTATGGACTACATCACCAATCTTAAATCAACTTTCACTAAGCAAAATGATAATGGATTGCAGCTTAACAATAATTTCTGGAATAATGGCAACACAATGTATAAACAATTCACACTAATATTAACAAATGAAAAAAAAATAAGACCATCAATTTTTCCAAATGAGTTGCATCTAATTAATCACCTTAACATTTATTAGCAAAAGACCATGAACCAAGAACATGATATGCTTCAAATGATAGCATGTCGGTTCTTGAGGGAATTTCCCTTTGAAAATTCATAGTTTCTTGAACATTAAAAAGAAAATAAATAACAAATTTTATTCCAAAACCGACCAAAAAGACCCCAGTTCAAGCCCTAATCATCAAATCGATCAAAACCGTAACCTGTACATTCCGAAGTCGTAGGTTATAAACCCTTTTGGATTTCGCGATACATTTGGCCGCATTCCTTCCTTCTTGTTGGAGCGGAGTACCTTGAGACTGAAACGAATCGAAAAAGATTAGACCTTTAAATAGAAAAGAGATCGAAGAGAATTGGGTTAAAGCAGTTTATAGATTTCTCAGCATCTTGAAAGGGATTGAGCAAGGAGCGAATGAGAGAAAATGCTGCAAGAAGAAAGAATCTTTTAGGCAGAGGATTTCTGGGAAATTTGGGGTTTTTTCGACATTAGTCCCTAACTTTTAATATTTTGAACTAGTCCTTTTCATTGTTAAAACTACTATTTGGTCCTCCAAATCTTATATCTTGCCACTGAAGCTCTTGATTGGAGGGGTTAATTTGAGGCAATTATACGAATCGGTGCAGCTAATAAGTGATAACATTTTCAATGGTTATTTTGAGACAATTAAACCTAATGATGGTTCAATAAGGTGTTTTAGATATCAATCCCTCACATCTCTAAATAATTTATAGTAACTCGTCACATCATTGAAATTGCTAAGTCCCTCCAATCCCAAAGTGTCTAGGAAATTTTGCTCAATTAAGTTCTAACAACTCACACTTTTAACGATTTTAAAATCGAAACCCGCTAACTAAAATCTCTAAAATAGACAATCATATAATTTCTCCAACATTCAAAAAGTATGCCTTAATTCATTTCTAATCTTTCGCAATGGTAATTTTAAAGCTTCTTAAATGTTTTAAGGGATATTTGATAATTGAGAGTAATTGATTAAGAGTTAATCCAACCACCATTTTAAGATGCAACTGAAAAACTAACAGAGAAACCAATTTGCAAGACTTCTTAAGATATGAGGGGCATATGATCAGTTTCAAAGATTGCAGGGACTAACATAGAATTATAAAAGAGATGAGTGTCGACGTGTCAGATCATTTAACGGGTCAGGTTCAGGCCTTACTGAACCCGAACCCGACACATCGGATAAACGCTTCCTGCTCCGAAATCCCAACATATCTTTCCCGCCATCAACGTCATCTCGTCAACTGAAAGGACCAGAAAAACCCTAAATTTTCACAGTTTCTCTCAATCTCTGCGCTTGATTTGGATCATCGCATCGCATAAATGTGCTCGCCTTCTTCGTCTTTTGTTGGTGAGCTCGCAATCAGAGAGTTGAAATTGATCCCATAAAAGATGAAGTCTCTCATGGAGCTCCTCTCATATTCAGCTCTCCCTTCCCTCTCCTCAACAAAACAACTCCACTCTCTCCTCATCACCTCCTCTTCTCTCTCTCAAAGTCCCCAACTGTTAATCAACTCCTACTCCGCTCACAACGACCTCCTCTCGGCCCGCACCCTCTTCTACCAAACCCGAACCCGACAACCCATTATCCTCTACAACTCTCTCATCCGCTCTCACGCCCGAAATCATCAGTTTTCTCACGCGCTCTCTCTCTTCGCCCATTTGCTTCGCTCCTCAACCCGACCCGATAGCTTCACCTTCGCCACTCTCCTTCGTGCTTGCTCCGATAATTTCGATGATAATGGCCTCAAATCCATCCATGCCTTCATTCTCTCTTCCGGGTTTGGTTCTGATTTGATACCCATTACCACTTTGATCAGTACTTACTCAAAAATTGGGAGGTTAGATGATGCTGTTAAGGTGTTTGATGAAATGCCTCATCCAGACTTGGTTGTTTATAACACGCTGTTATCGGGTTTCGGGTATGGTGGATTATGGATGGATGGGCTTGACGTGTTTAGTAGAATGAGAAAGAGAGGAGAGAGCCCAGATGGGTATTCGTTTGTTGGGCTGATCTCGTGCTTTTGGGATCCAAATTCGCTTCAATTTGCTAGAGGGGTTCATGGGCTTGTTTTGAAAGGAGGATTTGAGTTCAATGCTCATGTGAGGAGTGTGCTTGTGAGTATATACTTGAGGCTGGATTGTTCGGATTCGGGTAATCAGATATTTAAGGAGCTATCTTGCCCAGATTTGGTGACTTGGTCGGCTGTCATCACTGGTTTTTTTAAGGCCGGTAAGTGGCAGAAAGCGCTTGAATTGTTTAGGGAGATGAATGACAGTTCAATTAGAAGGCCGGATTCTGTATTGATTGCTAGTATTCTGTCGGGTTGCGCTTCGATGGCAACAATTGGACCCGGTAAGGAGATCCATTGTCATGTAGTTCGGATTGGAATGGATTTGGATACTGCAGTCTTATGTGCTCTTATAGACTTGTACTGTAAATGTGGGTTCGCGCAAATGGGTTTACAGGTTTTCAAGACAATGCCTGATAAGAACACAATTACATACAATGCAGTTATATCAGGTCTAGGCTCGAACGGGCTAGGTTTTGAAGCTATGAGAGTGTTCAATAATATGGTGGACAATGGGGTTAAACCCGATAACGCCACACTCTCTGGTGTCCTCTGTGCATGTGCTCATTCGGGTCTATTCGAAGAAGGATCCAGATTGTTTAGAACAATGAGAGATGAGTTTGGGATTGAACCAGAGATGCAACACTATGTGTACATGGTGAAGTTAATGAGCTTTGTTGGTAAGCTAGATGAGGCTCACGAGCTGGTAGAGGGTATGCCATCTTTACCGGGTTCGCGTTCTGGAGTTTGGGGGGCTTTGCTATGGGGTTGTGGATTGCATGGCAGGTCGGATTTGGCCGAGATTGCAGGTCGGATGCTATTTGAGATCGACCCGGGAAAAGGTGCTTATAAAGTGATGCTTTCAAAAGTTTATGCTAGTGAGGAGAAGTGGGGAGACGTTGAGAGTTTGAGAGAGAAAATGAAGGGGGTGAAGATTGTAGGACTTAGTTGGGTTTGAAGTTGCAATATGCTAAGAAGGCCCATTCATTGAGAAGCCCATCTTATAATGATTCGTTCAACTATAGGTTAGTCCAGACCGTTGGCTCCATAAACGTGCGATTTTGTATTTGAACTCATTGATAATTTATGTAGCAAAGAACACTTCATTGTACATAGTACATGCACAAATATAACAGTGCTGAGCTGATTTATTTTCCTGTATATTTGTAACCTCGTTGGGTGCCCCTCGTGACGTGGACCTACATCAATGTGAATAAAATCGAGAAGAAAACAAATGGTGGAGTAAATCCAGTGTCCTTTGCGCTTAGCCTGATTTCGAAGGCCCAGTCGAAGCCCTTGGGCTACTCCTGAGAAAATTACCAAACATAATTTCTCTTTCTTCTCCTTTCTTTTTTTCTTACGTAACTTCCCCCCTTGTTCCTTTTCTAAAGCAATTTAATATTTAATGCACGAATGAATAGTGTAATGAAAGATCAAAAGGAAATGATAGGCTATCTTCATGGTACAAATCTGTATTCCTAATGCCATGAAAGTATGAAACCATAGGTCTTTAGAACTTCATCCTTTATAAAGTTCGGTTCAAATGAAATGCACCTCTTCCCTAAAGTTGCTCCTATACCTTTCGGTTGGGCTTAAAAAAAATAAAGAAATTCATAATGGCATCTACTTTCAATGAAATCAATTGCCTCTATTTTATAGGCCTGACCTGCAACCCCCTCAAAAGAGTTGATAAAAGCATGCACGATCTTCTCCAATACATGGTCTCCCTCATACAAAGTATAAATGCTTTGGATGAAATAAAACAATTTGCCACAAGCTTTTAGTTCATTCTGGTGTTATATTATTTAATTTGCTAATACTAGGCTTTATATCAAGAAACTAAAGGCAATAGAATGAGCAAGACCCCTATGATGTGCCTCTTCCACTCTCACAAGAGTCTGAAAAAAGCAACATATATAACCAAGTTCTTTTATGTGATCTTAGAATCATACGAATCATCCCAAGCCATGTGCACCGTTGAGTTTAGAATGATGAAGCCGATTTGTCTATGATTGCCTTCCTCGAATCATTTAGTTTACTCGCTTTGGCATCTTGCTCATATGGTGCTAAAAAAACACATAAAAAGTGTAAGATAATCATTAATTTGCTTAAGAAAACCAGAGGAATTTGGTAAGATACATGTGTCATGCACCTTTTATTATGGTAGAAATATCACAAGTTCAAGGTATGAACGCCTTACTCCTAGTTTAAGGGGGTGTTTGGTTCAATTTCTAGAAATTATAGGAAATGATTTCCACCTAAAATATAATTTCCCTGTATTTCTTAAAAAAATTATAGGAAAAGTTTTGAGAAATTAAAAAGTACCAATTTTCTTGTTTTTTGTATTTTGCTTGTTTGGTTCAAAACAAGAAAATAGCTCATAACTTTATAGAAAATAATAAGATTTGGTAGGTTTTTAATTAAATATGGTATGTGTTAGATTTCTGGTGATTTCCTCTCATTTTGAGAGGAAATTGCTTTTGTAAAATTTGGTAGGTTTTGATATTTTATAGAAAATATTTCTGTAAATTTTTTGTTGAACCAAACACAATTTATAGAAATCTCTGGAAAATTTTTAATTATAAATTTGCCATTGTCAGATATTTTGAGAAAAGTTTTCTCAAAAAGTGTGCAACCAAACAGCCCCTAAGAGATTTGATCCCACCACTGAAGAAGATGAATTAAAGACCAATCTTAGGGGCTGTTTGGTTATTGTTGGTAATGTTGTGTATTTATGACACAACTTGGAAAGTTGTTGTCCACCTCATCACTTTACATTTAATGATTTACATTGTTTGGTTAAGAATCATTGTGATTCATAAAATGATACTACTTCCTTGTTGGGATTGCATTATGTAAACTTGAAAGTGATAGATGTGTGGGCCCCATTTGTAGAGAAACCCCCTCAAAGTTCAACTAAATTAACCTTGATTAACATGCTTATGATGCTATTGTCAGCTTTCGGATGAAATCACCCCAATTTAGAGGGATTTCACTTTCCGTGCCGCTTATGATGCTATTGTCAGCTTTCGGATGAAATCACCCCAATTTAGAGGGATTTCACTTTCCGTGCCACCTAAGCATAAAGAATGTCAGCTTTCGGATGAAATCACCCCAATTTAGAGGGATTTCACTTTCCGTGCCACCTAAGCATAAAGAATGCAGATTTACCATATATTCTTATGCAACCAAACTATTGAAAGTTGATAAAGCTGCAAAAAACCCTTAATTCTGACAACATTTTCAGCTTTCCTTGTACAAATCATGCAACCAAACGACCCCTTATAGTAATTAAAAAGAATTAATGACCTTTTTACGTATACTACCCTCAAAAGATATGATTGACAAAGGCATACAAAAAATATTGATTGACTTGGGAGTATTTTTAAATATTATTAAATCTTTCAGAGATTTGATCTAAACAAATATTTTATTGACATAAAATCATAGCAGTACTAATGGAACATGTTGGTGATACATCCTATATGCTTTCCACCTTTCACATATTTAACCATATTATTCTAAAAAAATTATCATATTTGGATAAAAATAACAATCATTAGTAGATTTAAGTGTGAACAATATTTCTACTAGTATGGTTCTATACATGTGCAAATTTATTAGATTTTGGAGGGTATCGATGCAACGACAATAAGCCAAGAAAAAAAATCCAACTTTATAAATTTGGAGGATATACATGGAAAATAAAAACCTTCAAAAGAAAAAGTAAGAAATTTAAATAAGAATAATTGAAAACATTCTATATGTAGCTCTAAATCTGCAGATACATGTTAGGAAATACACGCACTGATGGAGTACTCTCTTCATTTCTCAGACGGCAAAGCATCAGATTTCAGAAGGCTAGTTGCTTCATCATTCAAGGCATAATGAGGAATTTGGTCTACTATTCAGTAGGCCCCTCCAGCTTCACTGTGAGAGGGAAGAGCTTAATTCTTACCTATGCTAATTTCCTCTTTTAAACTCCGGCTCTCTTGAGAGGTACACGCTACATCTAACTCTATGGGCTCGGAAATGACCCCTATTGCTTTTTATATCACGAAAGAGGGCAGACAAAGGTAGGGTAGGATACATTTTCTAGCTTTGCGTGTTCATGTGGACATAATATACGAAGATCACTGATGAACTAGGTAGCAAAAAAACTGCTTCCACGTTTCTTGGTACTTCTAGCATGTGGATATAGGGCCAATACCTTTGATCTCTGTTGGAATTATTTAAAACCTAAAAGTCTCATATGATAAGTAGTTCTTGAAGTTAACAGACCTAACGAGCCATTGGATTTTATTCTGTGCATAATTAGGTAGGTATACATGGAGAACATGGGGGAAAGTTTAACTAAGCTAGCTATTGGCATCTTAGAGTACATGTCTAATCAGCAAACACTTGCTCTTAATTAATGAGCAAACACATATCCTTGGATTCTGCCTTGCTTTTGGAATTGCAGCTAATGATTATTTCATTGGATTATTTGTTAAGTAATTACTTTAGACAATATATAGTTATAAATATTTAATGAAGGTATATTCTTCATATTAAAGCACTAAAAGAAATGGTAGGATCTTTTATGTAGGAAGAAATATTAATTCGCAACTCAGTGAACAACTAGAAAGGAAAACTTCAACTCAAGGGTTTTCGTGGTTTGACCTATATTTACATAGGCACACCTTAAAGATTTCACAATCTAGAAGTCATGTTCTATCGTCTCATCCAATTTACTGTAGTGTCCTCTCTCTCTCTCTCTCGCGTTCTAAAAGGAGACAAAATCTTAAAACATGGCCATTGCATTCTCTCAAGGTCATTATAGGCCTATCTCAGATCAGGTAGCATAGGATGAATTTTACGGATGATAGAAAGTACCATATTCAAATATCCTCCTTATTCAAATATCCAGGAGGATATTTTTTTTATTTTTTATTTTTTTGCAGGTTTATTAATTCTTTTATATTTAGGATTGTTGCATATTTGTACCACATTTCTTTTAGCTATCACTTTACCTGTAGATTTTACCAATTACATTCTCAATTACTACTCAGCAAGATCCAACTTAAGCCTAATAAATTAGTCTTGATGTTCCGTTGCTTTTTTTACTTCATCACTGATAAGGTCAATAAGTCAGAACCAAAGAGTGCTAGCATATGAGCCTGTGGTATCATGTTGCTGAGAAAATAATTTTTTTTAAAGACAAAATAAGCCAAAATGTCCTTTTAAAAATATATTTAAAAATAAACAAAAAAAGAAGAAGAAAATAACAAAAGAACAAACAGTTTAACCGTTGGTTCGAGAAAAGAATTTTCTTCCACCATAAAGATCGATATTCCATGGGGATAAGGAGTGGATCGGTGTTGCTCCTCACTGTTTTTGCGAAATAAAGAAACTTTTAAAGCTATTGTTAAGCTAATAATAAAATATTATTATCTTTTTTATTAGTAAATTGTTATAAAAGTTTATAAACTACATGATTAAAATTTATGTTTTGGAATTAGGGGCTGTTTATTTGCCTAAAAAAAGAGGGAAATCAAAGAAAAGGAAACCTATTTCTAAGAAAAATAGGTTTTAGGGATTGTTTGGTTGGCTAAAAAAAGAAGGAAATCAAAGAAATGGAGATGAGATGAGTTGTCACCTTATTATAGGATGATGTGAGTGATTTTTAAAGAAAACTTGTTTTGATGTTGTTTGGTTGGCGAAAAAAATAAAGAAATGAATTATAATAAACATATTTCTTGTAATAGGTTGTTTTCTTTTGTTTGGTTATTTCTTAAAAATAAGAAAATAGATAAGATGAGTTGTCATTATATTATTGGATGATGTGACTCACACTTAAGGAAATTGTTTTCCTAGCTTTTGGGAAGGAAAACAAAGAAATGAAATGTTAATGAGATGAGATGAGTTGTCACAATCTTATTGGATGATGTGAGTGATTTTTAAATATGAGATGAGATG